ACACACCTTTGCTGCTGCTGGTAACCTGTTACCTCCATGCTTCCACATGGGGAAAGCTCACCAGAAAATAAAGCCAAAGCAGGGAGGCAGAGCCATGGCATGGAAGTTCAATTCTAGTCTAAACTAGGGCTCTTTTCACAATATCTCAGTTCTTCTATGTGTTCTATAAAATCATGGCTGAGAAAATGGCAGTGAGGAATATATTTAGGAGAGAAAAGCAGATAAAAACTGGGTCTTACTTGGGGAGTCCCTACATATCTTATAGGTCATCTTGAAGCCCAGTTCTATGTGATTCCGTGGGCTTAGTTGCTAACCTGATGAAAACATTGGGTGAGCTAAGCTGCGTACGTGCGTGTATTTTAATAGGCAGATATGTACCTTGAAAGTCAGTTCTTTGCATGAAAGTCCTCATTTTACTGGTATGACCAGTGGTAAGTGCAGGCGAGACGGGCAGTGTTGAGGATCAGGGGCTTCATGATGGGCAAAGTTCATCTGCTGGCTCCGCCACATTTTAGGTGTGTAACCTTAACCAACTCACTTAGCTTCTTTGACCCTCAGTTTCCTCACATGTAAGCTAGGGACAAAAACCTTCAGGGCGCCGTGGGGAGGGTGAAATGAAACAACACTCTTAAAGGGCATAGTTCAGTGCCTGGTACATCACATCGTCCAGAAAAAAAGCTTACATCTCTTTTTTAAAATAAACATTTTATTTAAAAATATATATATATATTTAAAAAGAACACATGCCAACTTTGGTATTTTAGCCATTGCTTCTTTTCTCTTCCTGGCAACCCACATTTCTTTCTGGTTATGTAGAGTTGAGCAAAGGAGACCAACATGAAAACAACACCGCAGGGGGTCCCCATAGAGAATGTACGCTTGGTCTTTTGATTTCTTTACAAAGCACCTCGTTGTGTTTCAGCAAAGAGGGTATTAAGCACCCAGCAGCATTGCCCTCTTTCCACATTGGAGAGGAGCTGCGGGGCAGTGTGGCTTCCCTTCCTTTGGAAAACATTAGAATAGCATCCAGGATCCCCATTGTTACACTCCTTTTTCATGCACACTCAGAAGCTGTTAAACCATTTATAGGAAACTCATGTTACCAGTAGGTGGTTAAAGTAAGCACAAGAGACTTTTAGGAGTTTGTCTAAATTCACAGGGGACATTGCCAAATCCTAGAATCAGAAGGAACTCACTGACGTGTTATTGAACTCCATGAACCCTATTACCATTTCCCTGGCGGAGGACAGCAGAATTCTTCCAAGATCTTGTCTTAAAATCACCTTTCCATGCACAGTCTCAGCCTAGTCTGGGGTCCCCTGAAAATGTGGATTCTCGAATCAAACCCAGCTCCTTAACACACCTGAGCAGCTCTCGGCACCGTAGGACCACCTTTTCCCAGGACCTGGCCTCTTACGTGTCTATTAATATCATCTTTCTAAGAAAGCACTAGCAATCTCAGCATCTGAACCACCCCGAGGGGTTACACTGGCTTTCTAGAAAAACAAAGAGCCCAGGCTCTTTTCACTCCAAGTTCTCGCCTATCTGATAGCAAGCAGTGTGCCAGCCTCTGCGAGCTTCCCACTGTGAGGAATGCAGCCAACCCCAAGGGGAGGCCTGAGCCTTCACTTTGCTGCTGAGGGATGGAGGCTCACCTGGGACACCATGTCCCTCCAGAAAGCGTCCCTGTTGTCTAGAGAGCTTGTTATGGGGATTGAGAATAACTGGTGGGGCAAAAAAAATGTTTCCTTCTCCCAGCCCCGATTTTCATGGGCTTCTGTATCTGCAGATAAAAACAAACCCTAAAACTCTCACAAGTGTTTGAAGTGGTGGGAGATATTGAAGGATCTCCAAGTGACATACTGCTGCTGTTGATGGAGAGAGAGACAAGAAAAGAATGTTAGTGTGGGCGACAGCTCTTAGCTAAAAAAGGGCCCTTTTGGAAAATTGAAGACCCCTTTTTAAAAATCATGGCTAAAGGGCTTCTGGCTTGAATCTTGGACACAAGATTCCCAGTGTTCTTGCTTATAGCAACTGCAGCTCCGCAGTCACTCAAAATCGGAACCACCTGCGCTGAGCCAGCTTGCTATCGGATATCTGAGGATTCGTGCGATTTGCACAGGCTAGACATCCAGTGATTATCCATCGGATGGGCAAATTAGATGCAGGAGTTTTCAGCCAGACCACAATCTGTTTCTAGGAGAGCTGATAGAATTTAAATAATTTTTGAAAAGGATTGTCTCAAATGTTGGGGATAGCCTTTATTGATTTTTTTTTTTTAATTGGAAATAAATGCTTTGGTCTCCAGTTCTCAGACCCTTGGCTATTCAAGTGGAGACTCTCCTGGTTTCCTCACTTATGGTGAAATCATTGCACTTTTAAAGAATGACTGCTCATCTAAAAATTTGTGGTTCACTTTTCAACAGGCAATGTTTTGGTTGAACTGAGAGGTTCATAGATCAGAGAGTTGGGACTTTTCTTCTCCCTTCCTTTCCTTCCTTTCCTTCCTTCCTTCCTTCCTTCCTTCCTTCCTTCCTTCCTTCCT